TATATATTTACAGATGACATGCATGTGCTGCCATAAGCAAGGCACTCAACTAGAAATTAGGCTAGATTTACAGTTTTGAGCTCTCCTTGAGCTTGGATAATGATGAAATGAACACAGCTGACATTTCATTCCAAGAAAGCAAAAATATATGCAGAGAGAAGACTTCACCTTGCTGCAGGAGAAGATTTTATTCCTCCCTGACTGTGTTCCCTCAAAGCAGAAGGTCATGATCTGAACTTCCATTAAGGCTGTTCAAAAATGCATCAAAGGTTCGATGGATAAAAGAATGTTATTTTCCAAAACCGCTGGGACACTTCCTGTCAGTTCACATAATTGAGTATTACAGTATTTAAATTACAAATTGAAGATTATTTTTACAGGTGTCATTTTAAATATAATATGAAATTTCTTGACATTACCTCAGCCATGCTACACAACCCAGCTGTGCTCGGACTTGCATGTGTGATGCACATGGCTGAAATTTTGTCATATTACATCATGGGCTACAAAAACACACAGTATAAATAGACGATGTAATATTTGAGAGAGCAAAAACATATAGTGCTGGCCTGGCTTTATGAAAGCCCAGATCTCGTACGGACGTGGAAATGTAAACTGTTATTAGAGCTCAGATCAGAACTCTTTCCAAAGGGTCAGGCAGAAGAGGGGGTCACACAGACGGAGCTCGGTTGCCCTCCAGTGGGCTCCCACCGCCCCTGCCTCCCTCCCATCCCAACCTGTCCCAGGCAGGAAAACCATCCCACGGCTTCCAAGGCTGAACAAACCAGACAGCTGTAGCCCATGGGGAAGACACACGCTATTCACACTGGCAGACCTGCAGGCCAACAAGGAAAATGTTAAATTAATTAAGAAAAAGATCTTGAAGAATCCTCTTGGCTTTCTATCCATAATTTGGCGCTAGCGGCTGCAAAGAATTTGCCTTCAACTGTTCTAATTTAATGTGGCTTTCTAAAATGCTATTATCTCCATTCTGTAATTTGTTATTTCATTTTTATGGTTTCCAGCAAATGCCACGTCTGGAAAGGAAAATTCCACCTTCTTTTATACTCTGTTGTGACTTGCAATTTGTTTTCATTCTGCATGAAAAACTCCGTTCCCATTGAAGAATTCTAAGCAAAACAAGAAAAAATAAAGAAAACAAACTGTCAGCAACTTCCTAACGTTGTTAACACAAAAAATGTCAACAATATTCACTAGATAAATTAAAGCTCTCCTGCCCTTTTGCTACCCTCTTCCTAAAGCAACCAACATGAAGCTTTAAGTCGATTCCAACCTTTTTAAGCAGTTCCAGATCCAACACACAGTGACCACAAACTATGTTGGGTGCCTGGGCAGTAATTCACAGCGATTGCCAAACTCAGGAGTGAGGAGATGACATTCCATCTGTAGGCTTGTCCACACAGTAAGAATAAGAGACTGATAATTGTAAGATTAATGGTGCAATTTTTGTGTCCTTTACGGCTGGGATGCTTTACCAAAAAAAAAAGCACAGTTTCGTGATTCAAGGAATAGATTTGGGAATAGATCCAAAGAATAGATTCAAGGAATAGTGGAAAAGGCATTAACATATTTTAAATCAATTTTGACAAGTTAGAATTTCAATGCACATGTAACTATTAAAGTGAAAGACTATCCCAAAATGACCACCACTCTTAAAAGAGAGCATTGCACAATTTTTAAAGTGATTTCAGTGCAAACATTCTTATTCCCCTCACTTTGTATGCCTGTTTTCATTCTTTCATCCTACAAAGAGGTATAAAAAAATAAATAAGTTAATTAGTTTCAAGTTTCAATTTCTCTCCCTTTGTCTTTTTTTTTTTTTTTTTGTCATTTATTTTTTAAAAAGCAGAAGTACCTAAAAAAAATGGGAAAATAAGATCTTCCCATGTTTCTATTCTACACTGAGAGACCCTTTCAGTAAATACTGCAGTTTGGGGTTAGGCAATTTGAGTTGTCTCATTGAACAGAGTTTACTATTTAACTGGAGACGGAAATAAAAGCTATGCAAAAACGAGCGAGTGTTACAGTTTCTTGTTCTGAAAGGCAGATAACTCGAGGCTACCCCAGATCTAACCTGGAAAACAAGAGCACTGAGTTGGGTCTGATACCAGGAAAACCCATCTGGCCAGATGTGGGGGTCACAAGGGCACAGCCTGATCCAGAGGGAAACGGGAGAGGGAGCTCTCACCCAGCCTGTCGAGACAGGAAGGTGTGCCCAGGTACTGTGCTCCAGGCTAAAACAAGGAGCCATGAACCCCTGCAGGATAGGGGCTCACGATTTATATAAATAATAAAAATATTATTCCATACATGATATAAGTATTATATATATATAACTCCTTCACTGTTTATACTCGAGAAGTCAAGCACTGATTTTCTAGGTTTAAAGTTTCACTATGGGCAGGTAACTACTGATGTCAATATTTAAGCTCTGTGGATCCTACCCCAAAGAATGTAAAATTTCGTGGGGTTTTTGGAGGTTGTTTTGTTGGGGCTTTTTCCAGGGCTTCCTAACATTGATTCACTGGAATTGAGTTTGACCTCAGTGATGTTTGGTTTGTTCACATATGAAATTCAAAGTCAAAATTACCAAGGAATGGGAGCTCATATGGATGAAACCCAAAGCAAATGTTTGCAGGAACCTCTGAGAAATGGAAGTACTGTGTTCACATAGCTCTAATTATAACACTGCATTTGTAGGATTCATACAAGCTAGGACCTGTGGAAAAGAAACATGAAGGGAAGCTGATTTAAAGAGAAGGCAAAATACCCTATGGAATTCGGATTGGAATCTTCTAATGTTAAGGAAATCTGCTGCAGAAAAGTGGGAACTACTTAAAAAACAGCTGTAGAGACCACAAGTGAAATTCATCCTGGTTATAATCTAAACACAGAAAAGGGTAACAAAGGCCAGTTTGGTTAAGCAAGGATATAAAGCCTTGTACACCGTGTGCAAAAAGCTTAATGAAGGGTCTTTAAAATATAAATAAAATGAGGAACTACATAAAAAAGTAGACAGAAGTTAGTTAAAATGAATAATTAAGAGATGAAGGGGTTCTAATGAAAAGTAAACTGCTAGGAACACTTTAGTTAATCATCAAGCTTTTTGCATATGCCCATGGCAAAGAAAAGGGAAGGCAGAAAACCACCATTTTAATTTATAAAGAGAAAAGATAGTGGATTAGACCCATACTTCATGTTGAAATTGTGTTGCTCCCCATTTAAAGCAGAGTACAGGTATTTGATTGATATTTTCCCTCTTTGATCCATTTGTTTTCTGCTCATAGTAGGAGGGATTCCTCTCATTTCACCACATCCATGTACAAAAGGAACAGGCTGTCTCACTCAGACACCACCAGCAGTCAATGGGGTGGATACTAAAGCTAAGTAAGGTCTCCTACCATGAGCTATGAATGAGAAAGTCCAGGCGACTAAAGTTGGATGTGAGGACATAGCTCTCCATCTTCACAAGCACAATTTTATTATAGTTAAAAACTTCTGAGGAAATAATTAATTTACATGAAATCAATGAACCTTACTGGTTTACAAAAGCCATGGGCACCACAGCTTCAAAGCAGCAAGTTGCAATTGCAAAAGTAATAAAAATTTTGTCCCCAGATTAAAAATATATATATTTTCTGCCCATAAATGGCATCCTTCCATGTCAAACTGATGAATTTCATCTGTGAGTCATTTTTCATGGAATGGTAAAGTTACAAGGGGTAAAAGGCTCGTTAAACTGCAGACATGTTTGAACAGCATAGCTGGAGAGAGGCTGCTGGCTGGGGTCTTTGCAGTTGTTCTGGTTAGTTTGGAGCTCTCCCTTATTCTTATTTTCAGTTGTTCAGTGTAATGCCTTCTCATAATGCCACTTGCCTGCATTTCAAAGAGTAATATTTTATTTTTTTTCAAAGAGTAATAACCTTTGCACAGCAAATCTCAACCTGCAGATCTTTCTTCTTATATTTCAATGAGTTACATGACGTGCAACCTACATGATTTGCAAAGACATCTTGCACTGATCTGCTCAGAGACTACATCAGGGAGTAAAAAATTACCCAACACAGAACTAGGGCCATTTTTTTATTAAATTCTTCTATGTAATTTTAGCAACATAATTAAGTTCTTTTTGAAAGTAAAATTGCAAAGGGTTTGGCTTGTGCTCCAATACAAAGTCCATTCTGCAGGAAAGGCATTCTGCTTTACAGCAAGGAACTCTTTTTCAAAGTAGCTTTTAAAACATTTGAGATTTTTCATAAAGTCATGGCATAGTTTGAGTTTGAAGGGACTTCAAAGATCATCTTGTTCTAACCCTTCTCCATGGGGAGAAGCACATACCACTAGATCAGGATATTCAAAGCTCCATCCATCCTGGCCTTGAACATTTCCAGGGATGGGGCAACCATAACTTCTCTAGGCAACCTGTTCCAGTGCCTCATTATCCCTAAAAGGGAATGCATCCCTGGGTAGACCTGTAAAATCCTGGCTTTCAGTGAAATGGCATTTAGCAGGATGCCCACAGTTGGGGTGTGGCGGAATTGTCTGCTCAGTTTGAGAAGGAGGCATTTTCCCATCCACTGTAGAAAATGTACCATAGAGGATGCTCAAAATGTTGTCCAACATAACTGTGGGAAATTTCTGTGAGAACTTATTTGTAAGAATTCTGCCTGGGGTCCAGCTGGTCTAGCTGAGAAGCTCCCTGAAGACTCAGCAGTATTCCTGGGTGATGCTTTTTTGAAATACAGTAATATTGAAACAATGACTGAAATAGATTAACACAGAATTGTCGTATTCTACATGAGGATGTCCATATCAAATAGTAATAAATGTTGCTTAATTAGTACTTGCTATCAAAATCCTCTTACAAATTCATCTGAGACAAAGAGAGAACAAGACTTGTTTCACGAAAACTATCCCTCATGAACTACTAAAACAAAATTATTTTCTTCCACTGAAAGAAGAGGCTTGAGAGTTCCTACTGTTTTGGGTCTATCCAGAAGTCCTCAAAGTCCATGGGAAACTTTCCACTGAAATTCAGGTTTCTATCACAAAGCACAGAGAAGGGAAAGGTCCTAACTGCACAGGCAATTCTTGTTCTAGAAGAACACAAGAAACAGAATTTTCAGTTAGAAAAACCCATATTCAGAGCATTCCTAAGTCACAAATAAGTTGATGGTTTTCTCAAAAGTTGGACATCATTTGAATGAATAAATCAAATGGAGAACAGCAGTGGTGCTTTCAGTTCTGTAGCTATGTATTCAAATGCAGCTTGCATTAGAAAATCTAGTACAAGATTCTTCAGGTGCAATGAGATTTTATTCCTTTTTTTACAGGAGGTTTTTTTGTATTTGTTTTGAGTAGTCATTAATCAGAGCAATGGAGAGGAAAAAGAAACACCAGAAATGGAATATCACTTAACAAGCCTGCAATTAGCAGACTAACAAGTTTGTTATTTTTGTACTTTTTCCCACTGTATGACCTAATGGAATAGCAGCAAGCACTGAACACGCCACAGCTCAAGCATGAGCATCGTGGTCTTTCACAATGTGTACAAGTGTACTGGAAGTCCCTGTGAATTTAGCTGCTGTAGAGTTAAAATGCACTTGATGGCTTGTCCATCTCAATTTATCAGGATTCATATGTCAAGTATTGATGAAGACAGCTTATGAGAAGTCATGTGCTTGGACATGTTCCAGTGTTTAAGCATAATAGGAATCTTAAGTAATTTAGTCCTATCTTGATATTTGTAGAACAATGCAAATAATATCAGATTTCAGATCCATAAGAAATGCTTAACACAGAGCCAAACCAGAAAAATGTACAGGTGTCTTTTCCTGATCATTTCCAAAACCTCCCTGTCCCTCTATAGTTCAAATTTTTTTTCATTTGAGAAAAGAGGAGGAGGGTGAATGTTTTTTGATTAGTAAAACTAAGAAGTTGTGCAACAATGCAAAGGGAAGGTCAGAGTTCAAATTCGACATGCTGGATTGCTTGTCTTCCTCAGTCCAGTTCACTAAATCAGCAGCACTGAATTGCTATGATGACAGGAAGGGGAGGAAGGTTGTGCTAGTATTGAAGACAAAAAATAAATCTATAAAATTATTGTCTTAGTCTCTTTCTAAAGACTGAAGAATCTGTACATTAAAGGAATTAATAACTTTTACCTTCGCTGAAAAAGGATGAATGTGTGATTTAAGTATCAAAAATGAATACACATTGTTAACCTTTATTTGATTCTAACTCAAAATCTGTGTTAGATAGGAAAACTTTCCCAGTAATAAAATTCTTCTGCTATAAAATGTCCTTTAAAACAAAAACAATTCTCTCTAAATGCTTGTGATCTAAAGGGAGCTTGCCACAAAACCAACTAAATATTGACTCTTGCCCAGATTACCAAAAGTACTTATACACTTAGCTCGCATTTAAAATTAGAAGCTTAAATCCTTCTGGGACCCTGGACTCAAAAAAAAATCAGATCTGAAAAATAATTCTGACTGAGAAATCAGATCATATCATGTGATTAAGACATATTCCTATTGAGACAAGTAATACTATCTCACTGAGAAACTAGCAGAGCAATTTAAACACAAAAGGACTGAGACTAAATGTCATTCTTTCAATTATTTCAATTTTTAAAACCCTCAGTAGCAATCAAGTGCCAAAATGTGGTAGTAATAGTATCTTGTCTGAGTCCTTGAAAATATTAGGTACAGTTTACAAAAACTTTTTACTCTTGCAGCTAAACTACACACTCTTAACCACAACACCCACTGGACCTAAAAAGCAGACTCCTCAGAAAGAGTTAAGTTAGGAAATGAGCTTTAGCAGAAATAATGAGTTTTCTCTGGAGCTTCAGAATTACTCATCCATGCACTGTTGGAACTTATCTCCATCCCTGGATCTTAGGCTACAGTGGGTTTCCATGCACCTGGAAATGGAGATGGAGACTGGGGCATGGCTCACTGACCCTTCATTCAAAACTTCCAGATAGTTTCCCACTTCTCCAAAAAGTGCCTGGTGCAGGAGAAACTGCAGTGACAGTGGTCTCATCCTTCTCCCAACAGACAGCAAAGACTTCAAGGCCTCCCACCCTGGTGGGGTAGGGGCTAGACAGGCACTGATCCTATAGAACCATTCCTATGGGTCCCTGCCACAGGCAGAGGGGGTGCTGGACTGAATGGGGACACACCAGGATGAGGAGCAGCATCAGAGAAAAGTCTCTGGCATAACAGCTGTATGAGGACTGAAACAATTCCTGAGATTTAGCTATCTATGCCCACCTATTTCCCCAGGCTGGGCAGCCTGAAGGCTGGTTTAAGTGACTTGACACCTTTGAGAAGCACCTAACCCTGATTTCAACAGTGATAACTCTCTGACTATTTCTCTTTCAGGTGTTGAAGACTCTCAGCTCTCAGAAACCATCTCCAGCACTCAGCCAGACACCCTGGCTGTGATTTACCCCATTAATTTTAAACCCTTTAAAGTTATGTGCCTAGTCTAAACTAGCCACTGATCTCCCTTCTGATGTCCATGTGAAGAGATAAATCTGTCCAGGGAGGAATTCGCTCCATTCATCCTAGACAATTCTCTTAATTTATTTTCTAAAAAATGGCTTTGTAGCAGGGAGGCCCTGTCTGTTAGTTCTGTTTCAGCTCCTGCAGATCTCAGAATATGGCTACTGAAAATATATTCAGCTACTGAATGCACAAAGGTGCTTTTGAGCCACAAGTACAAGATTTTTTTCTCACTGTCAGCATCTTCTCAGCATAGTCACACATCTGAGCACACCTTGTTTGTAAATCAGCAGACTGAACACTTCTTTAACTGTTGTCTTTCACACAGTTCAAGAGATAAATATATTTTATATTATCTGTAAGTATCTCTCAAGCTTTCACCATCAATGAAAATCGTTTCTTGACAAAACTATTTTTATTAAACAATTGGTTGTCATTCCTTTTTTCCACAGCAAAGACAAGAACTAGAAAGTTAGATATGCTCATCCTCCCAAGATTACTAAAAAATCAAATGAACAAACACCAAAAGAAGAGTTTGAGAAAAATCAAGTTAAATTACAATTGAGACATGAGGGATAATCCAAGCAGAATTTTCAATGTGTCCTACAAAATGATCTTTTCTTATGTATGCAGCTGATATGCAATTCAATGTGTCATTTTTTTGGATGTGATAGCAAGAAATTCCAGGAATCGTTCAGCCAAAGGTAACTGTAAGTACAATATGATGTGTGGGTATAAAAACTGAAACCCCTCATTTTGTGAAGCACTTCACAGAAGACTTGAAAAATGCACCTTTCATTAGAGCCAAATTCCAACCTCAGATCCACACTCGGGGCTCTCATTAAAGGCTCTGGGAGCCAGAAGTGCTTTGTCGAGGGCAGACTTCAACCGATTTTGGTATTTATCCTCACAGAGCAACTCTACTGAAGCCTTGATTAGCCAAATGGAACAGAGACATGAAAGTAGTTTAGATTAACAGGGCTTGGATAAGTAGGAGAGGTTTTAGTGTAGTGTTATGTGCTTTAATAGATGTGACCTAAGGCCACAAATCAGCGAGGCTGCTGGGCACTTGAATAACTTTAACCATATGAGTAGCTGAGAGCAGTCAGCAGAACTATTTGTGCTCTTAAGTGCAGACCTATGTGTAAGTACAAGGGAAAATAGTCCCTGATTTTGAATAAAAGAGGACAGAGGCAAGTAAGGATTGTGTATTACCCTGGTTTATTTTTCTCTTAACACGAGCTTAAAGCAAGCGCCCTGAGGCAGAGACTGCTTATTTGTGAACACAAGACCCATTCATGCCAGCCAAGTGAATCGAGCTAAACCAACCAGCTTTGGGTGCAGTGACAAAAATCTCAGACAGCAACAGTTCAAAGTCCCTGCTAAAAGAGCTTAGGGAAGGAATCCCAGCAGGTCTGGAAGTCTGTGCCAAACTGTACAGCGAAAGCTAATACTCCTTCTCCATAATTTCCAGATAAAAATAGTGAATCCACACTGATTTTTTTTCGTCCCAGTTTCCAAGCAAAATGAGGTTATTGGAGGATCTGTTCATGTTCTGATCTCACTCCAGTAACTTTTTCACCAAGCTGCAGAGATGGCAACAAGCTGTGAAATCCTGACAGTTCCCCAACAAAGTCAAATGCTGTGGTGATGGAACAATAAAGGAGTTAGGACAGCTTTGCAATTAAGGCTAAGTTTGCAGTCTTTTATACTAAAAGTATCATACTTGTCTAGCCCATTATAAAATGTTGTGGAACAATATTTTATAATGGACTAATGTGCTATCAAAGGCACGTGATAACCCTATGAAATCTAAAACAGGGATATATCACAGAGTTACAACAAATTGAGCCTCCTTCCAAAACTAACTGGAAGCTTTTCCCTGTACTGATTAATAATAAAGTTTCTGCTTAATCACCCAGATTATTCACACTGATTGTCTAACACATAGATAGAAGCAGAAGCTCTGTGTGCTGCTTCACAGCAGAGTGCAGAGGGCTTCACTCTTCCCCATGCCACACCACACATTCTCTACCCGTACACAGCATTTGAAAGCTCATATGTGAGCTAGGAGAGTCTGTCACACTGGCATGAGGCTGGAGTTTACAGGATGAATAATCTTGATCCAGGTTTTTTTAACTTCATCTGATTAGGAAGAGGGAAAGAGTTGAAAGTAAAACAAAGGGAAAAAAATTAGCTCCTTGTGGATATTTCCATTTGCTAACAAAATAGGTATGTGTGCAAACCAGCACATCTGAGGTCTGGAGAGGTGGATTTTTTTTTTTCTGTTATAGTCTTCCAGTCATACAAATGTTTTATTAACAATAGTTTTAGTAAAGGCTCTCAAAAAAAAAAAAAAAAAAAAAGAACAAGACAACTCCAATATCAATCTATTTTAGAAGAATAAATATCTGTGGCTTATGGGGCATATGCATCAAGTATGGTTCAGCTGCATGACAGCAGGATGGTCAATCTGCCTTTTCAATCTTAACTCCCACTGTGGGCCTATTACTGAAAAGGAACTAGGAGGAAAGGTTGTTTCTTTATAAAGGGAAATAATACTGTATGTTTTAACAAATATGGGGAGATGAGGAGACAACAGAAAAAAGGAAGTCCGTTTGTTAAACACCC